ATGCCATGGTGGAGACGAGACAATAGAACATCTGGTGTTGAGGTGCACAGGGATTTTCTTTTATTTTTTCTTCTTTTTTTTTTTTTTGGCGGGGGGGGGGGGGGGGGCTAAGTGTGTAAGCCTGCACCAATTTTTTTTTTTAGAGCGCAGCTCTTAGGGGCCCGTCTCCAGCCTGAGCGGCGTCGGCGTCGCCGTCGCCGTCGGCGTCGGCGTAACCTCGCCCCTCCCCCTCCTCCTCCTCTCCCTCCTCCTCCTCTCCCTCCTTCCCCTCCTCCCCTCATTGTGTAGTATGGTCCGGGCGGGTCACGTGACCTCGGGGGGAGGGGATCACATGACCCGTTTCCAGCCTGTGCGGCGTCGGCGTTGGCGTCGCCCCTCCCCCTCCTCCCCCTCCTCCCCCGCCAGGGTCACGTGACCCCGGGGGGTGACTCCCCTCCCCTCGCCGAAGTCACGTGACGGCCCGCCCAAGGTCATGTGATCCCGTCCCCTCGAGGTCACGTGACCCCCCGGACCTCTGCCGGGTCCGGGGGGTCACGAAGGTGGAGGAGGAGGGGAGGAGAGACGAGGAGGCGGAGGCGAGGGGAGGGGAGGAGCTTGAAGGACGAGGAGGTGGTAAAGGAGAGGGAGGGGGAGCAGGAGGGGAGGAGGACTAGCAGGCATGATCACGAGGGAGGAGGAGGAATATACCCTCCACTCCTCCTCCTCAAGAGCTGCGCTCCAATTCGGCGTTACAGGAACTTGTAAACGGCTTTCACTTTTTAAATGAAAAACTTATTTAATTTTTTAGAGCGCAGCTCTTAGGGGCCCGTTTCCGGCTTGAGCGGCGTCGCCGTCGGCGTCGCCGTCGCCGTCGCCGTCGGCGTCGCCGTCGGCGTCGGCGTAACCGCGCGGTGCATTATGGGTAAATTTCCCCGCCAAATCTAGCGGAAAAATTTTCCCGCTAGATTTAGCGGAAAAATTTCTCCGCTAAACCTAGCGTAAAACTTTTCCCCCGCTAGATTTAGCGGAAAAAATTCCCCGCTAGATCTAGCGGAAATATTTCCCCGCTAAATCTAGCGGAAAAATTTCTCCGCTAAATTTAGCGGAAAAATTTCCCCGCTAAATCTAGCGGAAAAAATTTCCCCGCTAAATCTAGCGGAAAAAATTTCCCCGCTAAATCTAGCGGAAAAATTTCCCCGTCAAATCTAGCGGAAACAATTTTCCCGCTAAATCTAGCGGAAAACTTTCCCCGCTAAATCTAGCGGAAAAAATTTCCCCGCTAAATCTAGCGGAAAAAATTTCCCCGCTAAATCTAGCGGAAAAATTTCCCCGTCGAATGTAGCGGAAAAAATTTTCCCGCTAAATCTAGCGGAAAACTTTCCCCGCTAAATCCTAGCGGAAAAAAATTTCCCCGCTAAATGTAGCGGAAAAAATTTCCCCGCTAAATCTAGCGGAAAACTTTCCCCGCTAAATCTAGCGGATAAAATTTTCCCGCTAAATCTAGCGGAAAAATTTCCCCGCTAAATCTAGCGGAAAAAATTCCCCGCTAAATCTAGCGGAAAAAATTTCCCCGCTAAATCTAGCGGAAAACTTTCCCCGCTAAATCTAGCGGAAAAAATTTCCCCGCTAAATCTAGCGGAAAAATTTTGGTCACGTGACCCGGGGGGTTACGTGACCTGGGAAGTCGCGTGACCCCCTCCCGAGGTCACGTGACCTCTGAGGGGGCACGTGTTTGCCCCCACGTGACCCCACCAAGGTCACGTGCCCTCGGGGGGGGTCACGTGACCCCCCCCCCCCCGAGAACACGTGGCCCTCAGTACCCTCCCCTCCTCCTCCTCAAGAGCTGCAATTCGGCGTTACAGGGAGTGGTAAACGACTTTCACTTTTTTTTTTTCAAATATCCTTTTTATTCTAGGCATTCATCGGTACGGAAATAACACCTGCATCCTGGAATGATCTAAAAATGTTTTCCGTGTCACGTCAAAAGCTCACTTGTAACATTTGGAAACTATTTTTAACGGCGGTGTGTTATAAATCTTAAGCTAGGGTGTCTAATATATATATATATAGCTTGACAGGTATTTTCATACATTTGCGTAAAGCAAGGATAATTTTACTGCAATTTCGTTTGCAGCGAAGTTCTCTTGCGTTACGAAACTAAGAGGCCGTTGTAACATGGAGAGACTTCCCATAAAGTAGGTTTGTTCGCGATGCATCATCATCCTTACCATTGGTATGGTGCCTGGAACGCGTCTCCGACTGGTGTGTTTACCGCGACCAGAAAGTGGTCCCTCGGTTTCCGCCTGATGACGTCATAGAAGTGTCATGCTGTCGCCGGTCGCGATCCTGGCGTCGTCCCAACAGTTGTGGTATACATTGTAGACGCGTGTTCTGCTGTAGGTCGCTCTCCACTGCGACAGTCCACAGAAGCTAGAGCAGCCGGAAGCTGGGACGCCTGGGACGCCGCGACGACAGCGACACTCGCGTTCGCTCGTGCTTTTCGCCAGCATTTCTACGCCCAACCGCCTGGATCGCGACAGCCAACAGCATGACACTCCGGCTTCTGTGACGTCACTTGTTGCCACTTGGGGATCAATTTTGATGTATGGGCGGGGTAGGACGCTAAACACACCAGTCAGAGACGCGATCCAGGCACCATACCATTGGGAAGGGGTGATGATTACGGCGATCTCAATGTGGCTCCAAACACGCAATTTCTGCGAAAAGCCTCCCCGCTGTGCAATGAACGGTACGGGGCCTTGCAACGCAGCACGGTGCCGGGAACGCGTCTACGACTGGTGTGTATTCGCCCTTCATTTGTTTGGCAACAAACTCAGTGACGCCATGTATAAGGTCGGTCCGGCACACTTCCGGTTCACATATATTTCCTACTTTATTTTTTTTTTTTACTCCTCATTCATTTATCATGGCTGCGAATTAAGTCTCGCAGTGCTATAAACTAGTGGCCATTTCCAGAAGATAGCGTGTATATTTGATTTCTCGAATACATCGAAACCCACCGTCTAGTTCAGAAATCAGAACCGGAAGTGGTTGGGGGCAATTTGCACACCGGCGCCACCGCGTTTCAATTCACGCGAGAAAGAGCGAATAGCGTCCCATCCCGGTCATGCAACGAAGGTGGTCCCGATCAATGGCAACAGATGGCGTCACAAAAGCGGAAGTGCCATGCTGTCGAATATGTCGCGATCCTGGCAGTCGTCATCACGAACCAGCGCAAGTAGACAGTTATTCAAAATCCAAACACACAAAAAAATACAAAATTGGGTTGTGTGTGTGTTTATACAGCCTAGAACTTGGTCTGCCTCACAGGGGCGACGAGTTTCCCAGCTGTAGATGAGAAATTTAGCCAGTGCGGTACAGCCGCTAGCCTGGGGTCTTTAACGTGCACCACGCAGTAGTGATACACGACCGCACGCCGGTACGATGCTCATCCAGATCGAAACGGGCAGGGGTGGGGCTCGAACCCAGGATCCTGGGTTCTGCAGCGCGAGCTTTCGCTCCACGTGCTCCGAGCTGGTGTGCGCTAGACCACTCGGCCACCGATCCCCCCCCCCCCCCCCCCCCCAAAAAAAAAAAAAAAAAAATACACTCACACAGCGCAGAACTATCAACTGAATTGTTTTTCAAACTTCCTCTTCTTCGACCCCAAGGAATTGCCAAGGAACCAAGTAGACAGAATAACTGTCTACTTGCGCTGGTTCGTGATGATGCCTTACCAACTCGCCCAATCTGCAGTATTAACCTGGCAGTCGATCAGAGAAATGCCGGTGAAAAAGCACGAGCGAACGCGAATGTCGCGGGGTCGTCACGGCGCCCCACCTCGTGGCTGGGGGGGGGGGGGGGGGACCTGCGGCATGAACAGGCGTCCGCCACATCCACCACCATTGTCGTGACGCCGCCAGGATCGCGACCGGCGATAACACGACACTTCTATGACGCCACCAGGCGGAAATCGAGGGACCTCCTTTTTCGGACGCGGTAAACGAACTATATTTACGTCGGGTCAGGGTGAAGGCTGGCTTGATGTAGTCGTAAGTCCTAAGAAATATGCGCGTGCTCGGAAGACTCGAAAGGTCAAGCTCGAGCCGTTTTAAGACGATATGATTCGTATGTATCCGCGAGTGTTAGAATAATCGTTAGAAGTTCTCGGTTTCTCGCGTCAAGCTTCAGCGCTTTGCGCCAGCGCTCTGGCGCCGGGCGTCACCGCTTCGCACCGTCACGCGCGCGCGTCAGGCTTCACTGTTTTACACCGGTGTGATAGGAGAAACAGTTGACGTGACGGAGCGGCTCGGTTGACTCGATTAAAACACCGAAGGAAGGCTCGTTGGACTGGCAAATATTGATCACAATTAACTTAAGCCTATTGGGCTACGTTCACAGATCCACTCCTAATTTTAAAAGCAGTGGCGAAAAACAAACAAACTAGTCTATATTTTAATAAACAATGGTTTTACTCACCAAGTTACATTATGTGTTACCCCCCAAGTCCTCTCATCAGGGTATTTTTCAAAAGAAGTGTGTGACATTGTTTTAATTCAAAATATTTTTTTTCATGACTATATTTGATTAAAAAAAATGGTTGTGATGTATTAAAGTGTCCATGCTGAAATCTCGTTAATTGTAAGCAATTCGCAGTTGAAGACAATAAAATTCAATTCGCTGACATTTTTTTATATAGTTTTCGATTTGTAGTTAAAGTTTTTAGATTAGCATACCTCTGCAAGTTATTCAGGCTCGGGTGGAGGTGGGGCCTTTTTATGCAATATGCGTCCGGCTGGGGTCGGACCGGTTTCCGGGACAGGATGGGTCCTGGATTGAAGCAACATCATGCAAGTTTATTTCTCTCTTTTCAGTTAAAAAAGAAAAAAAACACGTAATTTTGTATAGCTAGCAAAAACAATCTAACGCGTAACGCGGTTACGCGTTTGATTACTGGCATCGTGTGTTCGGGCAACCTGATGACGACGCAAGGAGGTTCAGCCTTCACGGTACCGTTTCAGGCGGCCTGCGCCCCGAGCTGCGACTCCAACCGGACCCGGGACGAGGCTCCGGGAGCGACGCTGTCCCTCAGCATACAGAACCTTGACGAGATCCAGTGAGTACGGCCTCAGGTTTTTGTGGGCACCGAAACCTTCGAGTCCCTGTTACGGTAAAAGTTGTACCTCGCTGGACGATGGACGGTGGCAGGCAGACAAGTCCTCTGTGCATGCTTTCGTTTGACTGTTGGTCCGTCATCGACTTGGTTTGTGGTCTAGCTATAGACTCTAGCCGCGGATGCGTAGATGGGACCGTACCGCATCGAGGCGAGATATGACAACTGCGATTAGATACAAGAGGAAAAGTAGACGGACTAAACACGTGTGATTGGTTCCCCCTCAATTCGACGGGTTAATGTCCCATATCCATGTAAGCGCAGCCACTGAGAGCTCAGAAACGCAGTGAGTGGCTTATCCTGAGCACCTTATTATCACTTCGCAGCCAATGAGATTGTGGCATTACCAATCACGAAGCAAGAATCATTATCATAATAGGCCACGCCCAACATTCCTTCAGGTGTCACTGATTATAATAGGTTAACCCCCTCCAAAACTCTCAATTCGTTATTTTTTTTCTTTACTCTGGAGGGCAATAATGCGTTTAGGACGTTGTTTATTATATTGGGACTTTGTAGTAGTTAATTAATAAAATATCCACCGACAGTGATGCAAAATGTGCCTGAGAAATTTTTCTGGCAAGTTGCTGGAGTCTCTTCCTCGTTGGTTAGACTCCGATGGCGTACTTGCGAAAATGTGAGACATTTTCAACACACTCAACAAAAATGTCTATAAATTTTTTTTGTTTTTTTTTTATTTTACTACTTAGTTTTGAAGCAAATAATGTTTTAAAAAAAGAACTCCTTGGTTTAAAGGTTTCCCCGACTTGGAGTAAAGCTCCTTCACTCGAATTTTTAATCGGCGTGTTCAAACTATACTCATTTTCACCTCAAAAACCTCAGTAAAAAAAAAAAAAAAAAAAAGGTAGACTCTTTGCTGAGAATTACTAATTTCCCCCTTTGCGTGTAGGATTGATATAGGTGTGTGTAGGTGCATTTTAAAGCATATATGTGTTATTATATAGAGACCTACACGGTTTTAAATCTTTTAGGAACTGCTTCGCGCGGCGTATGAGCGATGCGCAAAGCGTGCTTTTTATTTTTTAGGTGTAAACGAACGTAGTAATGCAAATTAAACTATCTAAAATTGACTGTGGATGCAACCAATAGTTTTTTTTTTTCAAAACTATCGATAATGCCGTATACTCTCGATAGTTGACTATCGATGGTATTTTCGCTACATAATTGGGTATCGATAGTACTAGCGATAGTGCAATCGATAGTGCTATCATTTCGTACTATCGATCGTTAGCTTTTAGTCGACTATCGACACATCGAGAGTAAGCTTTCATAAAACTGTCGAGTGTTAGCAAAATTGAGGAACTACCCGTAAACGGAATGACGACGGATATGTACCGGCAGGCAACGCGTGCTTTTAGGGGAAAAAAAAAAAAAACAACACAAAATTGAAAGGAAAATAAAGATATAGTTGCACTCTCGCACAATTAATTTATGAGGCGAAACAGAAATGGCGGTTTGCTAGTTTTTCCCTTGTATATACATGGTGTCCAGGTATCAGGCTTCACACTTCAGAATGCCCACATTTGTAAAACTACTCAGTATCTTCCTTTTTTTGTTTTGAAGTTAGACAAAAAAAAAAAACACTCGTTGAACACATCTAACATCAGGAGGTGTCGAAAGTTTGTTTCACGCTTGTTTCCTTTATTCTTCAATTGACGCATATTCCTTTTCACAGCCTTGGCCACTGACATGTGAAAATGAGCACTCCGCTGGGGATCACAATTTGTTTTTCTACTGATGATCATTTATAGCGAATTCCCGAATATCGGGAATTAGCTGTTGAAGAAAGCGCTTAGGGTTGTATGCCGTGATATGTTGCCACGTTTTGTTCAGTTCTATTTGGCAGACTTAAATAACGGTGGCTGGGAAAATATTTATCTGTTGGTAAAAAATGCAACTTAAGAATAGAGGAACTGTCACATATCTATAAGTAAATATATTTGAATCAATACATGCAACAGAAAGTTTGTTGTGCAGACTTCAAATTGAACATTACGAGATAAAACGTTCGTACCAAGAAAACGTTGTTACTGAGGTTTTTGGTATTTCCATTCTTCAAATGCAATGGGTTGGGGAACATAACGTTAACTGGATCAAAAATAAATGATAAAAATGAAACTTCCTTGTGATCCAAGTAACGATATTGTTGGCAATGAAGCAATATTTCATTGAAAACTTCTTGTGACTCCAAACGGAAGTATTGTTTCCTTCCTTTCCCGTAACCTGTTTATTAAAAAAAAAAAAAAGAAAGAAAAACGCCACACTTATATTTTCATTCGGGTAAAGTCATGTACCCATACTAGCGTATTCGATCATCATCGCTAGAATTATATTCAAGCCGGGTTCCGGATTTATGCAACAAATATATAGTTTACTTATCAGGGGCAACAGAGATATCTATTTTTTTTTTTTTTATTGAGCTCATAAAACGAAAAGGGCACACCCCGGAAAGCAATCTAAAACAGAAAAGAAAAACTTCGAAAACCTATCAACTTGATATATTTTATTCATAGTTTTTCAACAGTATGCAACATATATTTTATTACTTTTCGTCACTAGTTTCTAAGGATAATTTCTATTGTTTGATTGTTTTCTAATAAGTTTTAGATTGTTACTCGACAATTATGCGGAATTCACTAATTGGAGTAGCGTTTTTCTCCGAGCTACCGTGCATTTCCGGGTCATTCTTCGTCCGTCACCCAGTAAAACCCCATCGATAGCATTGCGATAGTTGGACATCGATAGTTTCTCGATATTATAAACAATTTGACGATAGTCGACTATTGATAGTATCCTATTGAGTTTACGACAGTCGTCTATCGATAGTATACTATCGATACAATTAGAATCGATAGTTTTACGATAGTCGACCATTGATAACACTATCAATAGTTATTTCACAATCGATAGTTAAATTTCGCATCCACTGTCGATGGTATCGATAGTCTCGTTTTTTTTTTGTTTTTTTTTTTTATCTCTTGTTCAAACTTCGTCCAAGGTGCCCACAATTTGAAACGGCCGTTGCGGGGAAGACGCCTCGTAACAAAGATATTTGTTGCACGTCAAAAGCGGACCTTTGTCTAAATTATTCCTCGGTCCTTCTCTGAGGTGTGCCAGTTGAACATCACCTATAGATAGCAAGGCCGTTGTGCTGTATTGTCTACGTCACCGATTGTGGACCAGCGCGATGCACACATTGGACGCGAAAACACTCGCGTCCAGCCAGTGAAGATACGAGTATACTCGAATTTTCACTGGCTGAACGCGAGTGTGAAAATTAACAAGGAGTGGGGGTCTCAACCGGCGTTGACATGCCGCCTTGCGACTTTGTTGGGCATGGGGAGAGAGAACAAAAATGTCGTAGAATTAAAGGTGGCCTACCAGAAGGGCGAGAGCACGCGTACAGAATAATGCACCCGACAAAACGCCAAACAGTTCACATCCCGACGTCATACAGACTAGTGCAACGAGGGTTGTGTCGAGATTTATTTGTCCACGGACACGAAATTGGGGAAACTAGACCTTAAAAGCTCCGCTGTTAAAACGTAATTTACTTAGCAACTTTGATCCCAACCACAGTCGTGAACCAAAAAAGAGTGCAGTGCGACACTTCGTGTCTTGGAATCTTAGTCCCGTCGCGATTTCTACGTGAAGGTGAGCTGTTTATAACATCCTCCTCTCTCGAAAGCGGCAAAATGTTCTTTCATACCGGCAATTAAAAAGGAAGTACTTGAAGTTTTTAATTATTATTTATTGTGTTTATAAGTAACTTTCTGAATTAATTCCTACCGAAAACCTTAGAAAAAGACACCATAGCTTCTGCCGTATTCTCTCAATAAAAAATAATAAAAAATCATTGTTTATTCCGCAATTATTTATCTATTTAACTGAGAGTCCATCAGTTTGTGAGGCCAAGACTCGAGCAGTGGATTGGTCGATGTTCGCCCTGCAGGCTGGACCTGGATCCCTCGATGGACTGGTGGCCGGGCAGCAAGAACGGCAGCGTGGCCAGTCGTGGCACCGAGGTCCGGCTGGCGCTGCAGTCTCTCCAACAAGGAGCCGCGGAGCAGCCGTGCACGTTGGACGACTCGCTGCTGCTCTGGAACAAGGCGTACGTGGTGCCCGGGCTCACCGTCGGACCCGAGATACTCACCCCGGGAAGCCACGCCCTCAGCCGTGAGTTGGAACGTAACCGCATGGACTTACAACACAATACAATACAATACGTTTCTTTTTACGGTTTACTTGTCAATTCCCACATAGGCCAAGAAGGCTGGTGCATGGGACAGCGCAGTAGCGGTACAGGGAATCCACTTGAGTGCTCCTTTAAGTGCCACTTTAGTGCCCCTGTCCTGACAGCTTAAATGGGCACTAAAGTGAATTCATACATCCTATTTTTATGTCGAAAACTCGATCTATATGCCCTAAGCACGACAGAAAAGCCCAAACCTGCAACCATGCCTGGCTTTTTTTCTTTTTTTTTTATTAAATCCGCGACCAAACACTGCGACACACCCTTTTTTTCTGGTTGATATTATACATAAAAACTTTCAGCCTTTCCAGTCTCGTGAAGAAGGAAGACCAGCGAAGCTGTGCTATGGTGGGAATGAAGTAATGGCCGGCCGCAAGTCGGCAAGTCAGAGTGGAAAGGCTCGAAAGGTTGCCGACGTCGCTCATAGATGCCGGTAGCTGTCCAGAGTTCTGTGTCATGACTTGTTTGCTGGCGGGCACGATCCTGTGGAAACTAGCCCTTAACAGCGCCGCTGTAAAAAAAAAAAAAAAAAAAAAAAAGGACGGGGGGGGGGGGGGGGGGGGGGGCGAACCGCGATGTTTGGTTGCATTTTAAATACGAAAAAGGAAAACGCGTGATTGTAATTTTGGGGATTTCTACATCGACGTTTAGGGTGCGTATATAGATCGAGTTCGCGTCATAAAAGGCTATCTCAAAATCCACTTTAGTAAAACTTTAAACAAAACGCGACGGGGTGCGGCAACTTTCAATATAGCATCTCATATTATCGCATCGTAACCGTTGAGGTTGCGACAATTGCCGAGAGAACGCTAATGCGCGAATCACGAAGCAAGGAGATGGAACATCGTAAGCCACACCCTGCGTTTCTTAAAGCTGTCGGTGTTAATACGCCAACACGTTGTTTACCAACAAGCCCCACCTTTGTCCACACCGGCACTGCTCGTGCGCACTAACTGATGATTAGAGTGAGGTGAAGCGTCCGTGCGTGCGCGGTACCGACAGGAACGTCGCCGCCGCCGCAGCGGCGTGACGTGAAATCCGCGAATCGGTCTGTGTGTATATATGTATATACACACCCATGTAAGGGTTTATAGCCCATCACGGCAGACGTATAGAAAGGCGACGATTGCCTTGACATTGCACTTTTTGGCGCTCTTCGATTGTCCCCGTCGACTCGTCGGCAGCGCTCTTGTTTGAGATTAGACCATTCTAAAGTTAGCCTTCCACGTGCTGCCATATTCGTTTGCTGGGCTGAAGGAACGCTCTCTGAGCGTGCGCAGCAGCTCTCCTCTGTGAGATATCGGACTTTGTCTTGAAACAGCGCGGCTATATGCGCGGACGAGGTGAGAGATCTGGACGACACGAACGCTGACTCAACTGACTGGTTTTATCACTACAACGTTAAGGAACTCGTGTCGGAGAAAACCCGGCGTCGGTGGCGTGACAAGAAAATCCTGATTGGTCGATAGGCTCGTGACGTCACAGCTACATGACTTCGCGCGGGAATTTCAAGCAACTCATGACGCTCACGTGAAGCTTGACGGCACGCGTGGAATGAAATTGATTAAAACGCGACATGTAATGCGAATGAAATGTATTGGACAAAACCCCGAGACTGGGGGAAAAGGTACAACACAACACAAAGTCTCAAACACGGCTGAAATTTATTGAACAGAATACCGTGGTTTTGTAGGGCACAGGTGCCTGGAAAATCAAAAGGAATGAAAAAGGGAGAGGATGAACTTCTTTTTCCCGAACACAAAAGAGAGGGAAGACATTGACCAATAGCCACACCGGTGCCGGTGTGGTGTGGCTATCGGTCAATGTCTTCCCTCTCTTGTGCCCTATAAAACCACGATATTCTGTCCAATAAATTTCAGCCGTGTTTGAGACTTTGTGTTGTGTTGTCCTTTTTTCCACCCAGTCTCGGGGTTTTGTCCAATATGTTAAACCTTCACCAGCTTGTTTGCGCTCTAACTTTTTGTTCGCGAATGAAATGTCGCAGGATATCTCAAATGATTTAATTTTATGGAAAGTATTTTATGTGTCTTAAAGAAAATTTGAAGACTTTTAGGCTGGATTCGAACCCACAACCCCTCGGCTTCAAGCCAGACACAGTACTGACTACGCCACGGAAGGCACGCTTGCACGGCGAATGAGAAGGCGATGCGAACGGGGCCCGGTAACACTATCGCGTTCCCCTCTTAAATGCGAAGCTTAAACGTCCTCTAAGTTTAATTTAAAAAAAAAAAAAACATACATACACGACCTTGTATTCAGGATGGTATTGCGCCTGCGCCTGCGCAATAAATTACTCGGTGATATCGGTTATACACAGGCAAAGATATTAACTGATAGCGCCGAGTAATTTGTTGCGCGGCGGAATCCCATCCTGAGTAGAGGGTCGTGTGTGTATGTTTTTCTGGGTTCTTAAAAAGAAAACCAGTCAGTTCTTAGTTGGCGTTCGTGTCGTCCAATCTCTCACTTCGTTCGTGCCTACTCGCACTGTTTCAAGCTAAACACGTACCAACTCGCCCAATTATTCATTCTGTTAATATCAGACGCTATGCACGCGTCCACAGCCCGGTGACTCAGCCGTTTTCGGTGTGGTGAACAAGCGCTGGAAAGGTGTATGTTTCAAAGCTGTGATATGAGCAGTGATGGCCTTCTCCTTACAACGATGGTCGGTTCGTCGCAGTTCACCTGTCCGGCTCGGAGCCCGGCTGCAGCGGCCAGGCCGCCTGGCTGCTCAACGTGAGCGTCCACGCGCGGGAGTGCTCCAAATCGCCGCAGGACTCCGACACGTGCTCCGGCGGAGGCGCCTGCGTGCTGGAGCCTGGGCAAACGTCATTCTCGTGCCGCTGCTGCCCCGGCCTCAGGAACCGCTTCTGCGAGGAGCGGGACGGCTGCTTCACAAGGCCGTGCCGCAATGGCGGATACTGCGTCGACATAGCCGAGGGACTCACCGGCACCATGTTCCAGTGTCTCTGTCTCAGAGGTAAAACGAGTCACGCTTTCCTGCCCACGCTAATATTTTTTTTTTTTTTACATGTAACGTTTTTTATGTTTGAATCCCACGCTCTTAAAAATGTCCAAGTTCGAGACCACTCAACTTAAAGAACCTTTTCATGGGGGTGTGTGAATACTGCTTCGAATTCTAGCGTCATGCCTAGCTTCAACACTGCAAAGAGCGACGGCACGTCGTAGCACTGTGAAGGCCATGAAAAACGCAGCACTCTTCGATTCCAACCACTATTCACAAACCCCTACCTTCGTCAAGCGGGCTGCTCAAGAAGTTGGAAAGCACGTTATGAGTCATGACATGACAAACCAAATTACAATAAATTAAAATTTGCTACATGAACAAAGTGCCCCACAAGCCCTCATGCAGTAAACAATACAACACCATAAACTTCTAAAACCCTAGAAAGCAAAAAAAAAAGAAAAAAAAGTTTGAAGCTTCTTGAATTTTAGATTGTTGGGCCGCCACCTCGACCGGTGATCGAACCTTTGACGCCTGCCAGTGGTGCCAAACAGACGGGTGTTCCAACCCGCATTCCACGATTTAGTCGAACAGTCGGCCACTCTCCCAAGTAAACTACCTCGTGAATAAAAGCGCGTGTTCTCATTTAAATAAACCGAAATATAGGACCACTTTTCATTAAGTGCTGTAGAGGGTAGTGCTGTACAAGAAAGGGCTGCAGAAGGCAATGCTATATCAGACCATGCTGCATAAGAGAGTGCTGTAGAAGACAGTGCTGCAAAAGACAGTTCTGTAGAGTATGATGGCTGTGGAAGACAGTGCTGTATATAAAATACTGCGACGTAGAAGTCCGTGCTGTTGAAGGCAGTGCAGTAGAAATAGTACCCGAGACAGGACACGCAGGGTGGTCTTCATTGAGCTTCGCCCTCCTCCCGTCTTAACAGGATTCCGAGGACGTCGTTGTGAGGAACGCCTCAGTCCCTGCGAGACACTGTCTTGTCCTCAGGGCACGCACTGCGTTCCATCGTCCAACGGCAGCCGCACCTGCGAGGAAGACGTAACTCCCGCACCCAGTGCCGGTAAGACGCCTTCGCCCGTTGTATCATCTAAAAATGATAAAGTTCATAAAATACCGCATTCGTTGAAAAAAAAAACAAAAAAAAACAATACTTTTTTAAAGAACAGGTGACAGTGAAAATATCCACCGGTACTACTATCCAGACTTGTACGTAATCCGTTACAAGTAACGAAATTACTTGTAATCCCTTACATTTATCAGTAATTTAATAACGGAATAATTACATAATTTCTAGAGTAATTTTAAAGTAATTCCCTTACATTTTTGACGTAACGGATTCCTTGTAATCCGTTACATTTTTTTTTGTCAGAACCAACCCCCTCCTCCCCTTCTAAATAAAGTGTTTCTTTTTTTTTCATTTTTGCAAAGTCGAGCGCAGTGACAGTATCACGCGAATTGACCAGCGCAAAGGGAGGCTTGGCACTTCAGTTCCCCAAAGCCTTTTTTTTTTTCAACATCAAGCACCTGAACCTATTTTTTTAGACCCTAACAACAATGTCGAAAAATCCAAATAAACATTTCTACAAACAAAAACAAACAAAAAAAGGGGGGGGGGGGGGAGGGAGTGCGGAGGGGGCGAGGTATTCCCGCTTTTTTTTAGTCCCTCTGTTTTTTCTTTGCGATCGACGACGGGGAGAGAGGACACCAAGTGATTGTGCGCCTCTTCGAGAAGCTCGAGGCCGTAAATGCACTGAAAAAGAATTAACAATGTCCTTCTACGACCATTTTCATAATGTCACAACACGAGACAACGCTCCGTCTACCCTGCCCTTTTTGCGAGTCAGCTTTTTGCGACCACTTAGAAAATGGTAATAGTCATCCCTTCTTCTTCCTGTTTTGCCCCAGCAGGGCCCATCTTATCTCAAGCAGATATTTTTACAAATAAAACATAATGGTGGCTGACTCAGACTTGATATTCTGAGCTTGAGGAAAGAGTGAAATTCGTGAGTGGGGCCATAGCGCGGCTTACTTCTACCCTTTGCTGCCCTTGGCATCAGCGGACGTCTATCTGGAGAACACCGGAGTAAACTGCAGTCGGTTCGTGCCCCGTGCGTTCTTGAACGGCACCAAGAAAGGTACACACGGCAAACGTGCGTTTACATTTCCTTGTTTTAACGGACGTTCTAATAATTGTTGTTATGAGTGTCCTTTTTCTTTTATTACTTATATTTATATACTGGAAACTTTTTTTTATTCACCAACGTCTCAAGTGAGGCTCGAACTGTTCAGAACCAAAGGAGAAGAATATCGAGCCAAACAATATTTATTATTTAATTATCACCTTACTGTTACAACTATGTTTTGCTATTGATGACTTCCACAGCTTCGCGATTTAGACAATGGAGAATTTAGATCGGTCCGATGACTCCGATAGCGATATCCGATGCTTCGCCGCCGTCTTTGCGTATGCATCATATCGTTATCGCGGCTACGAAGGTATCGGAACGATCTACTAAATCTCTGGAATAGCAGGCAACGCCTGCAACGACGAAGCTTTGCTCTACATTCGAGGTAAATAGTACTTCCCTTGCTTCGCAGAAAAAGCTCAGTGCAGAGCATGAAGCATTCATGAGGAACAATATGACACTCCCATCCAGTGCCTCAGCTCAAATGGTGTTCAGCGTAGCAGTCGACATATTGAGTAAGAAATAACGCAAAATGCCTGACGAGACTTTCGAGGGCCAGCTGTTGCTCAAAATACTCAAGGTCATTAAATGGAACACGTTGCAACAATAAGAACTTGAATAACCCTCTTCCCTTTGTTTCTTACTTGAGGACAATAATGTAAAAAGTAACGCCACAAAAGTAACGGATTACTTTTTGGGGTAACGGTCAGTTACTTTCATGAAAGGGTAATTGTAATTGTAATAAATTACAATTTAGCCTTGAGTAATTGTAAATGTAATCCGTTACTATTTTTCAGTAACGTGTACAAGTCTGCTACTATCCCTGTTGTTGCCCATTTCGGTATCTATGAGATCGTGGGGTGCGGTTTTGTAATCACTACCCCGTGATGTACTTTACAGGCTCCAGATGAGCAGTTGCACACCACTGACTAAACTACCCCTTCCAGCGTTCAACTGTAGTATCACTCTATTGGTTCAATGCTCCATCTGGGTTACGTGACCATATAGCATCAATGGATTGTGCACTATTTTATTTTAAATTTTTAACGACGTATGCCTCAGATACAGAACGGAGTTCTCTAGAATTTGTTGTTGATATTTGAATGACTCAGTGGAAATTTGAAGCGGACGTAGTTCAGTAGGAAAGAGGCAGAGGGGAGGCCACCAGGGGGCTGTTGGGGTCTTGCTCTGCATAATCAAAGTTTCGGCCTCCCAACGCTCATTCAGCATTCGTTGGCAAATCGCTGCTCGTTTCGTACACTTGCAGCCGCGTCTGGAGTCTCGGACATTCCAACCACGGGCACCGTACCCGTAGCCCCCAAACCAGACGCCGTTCCCGAAACCAGGATGCCACCCGCTCCTCCGGTCATAGCATCGGCCACGTCCTCGTCTCCGGTGTCGTCGAGCAGCGCCGGCGCCTGTGCGGGTCGGCCCTGCGTGCACGGCATGTGCGAAGAACGACGTCGCGACACGGACCTCCTGGTGGTCGGAGGCACCGACGAGGACCCAGGCTCGACGTTCAAGTGCTACTGCCTGCCGGGCTACGGCGGAGACCTGTGCGAGTTCGAGTACGACGAGTGCGACTCCGGGCCGTGCAGTCACGGGGCCCAGTGCGAGGACCTGGTGGCCGGCTTCCGATGCCACTGCGGGCCGGGCTACGCCGGCCGGGCCTGCGAGATCAAGGTGGACCTGTGCCGGCCGGACCCATGTCCGCCGCCCGCCCAGTGCGTGGACCGCGGGAACAACTACAGCTGCCTCTGCCACCCCGGATACGACGGTGCGTTGGCTCAATCAGTTCGCTTTCTAACACCCAAAAATGGCAATACAAAACAAAAGCACCAGTTCGAATAGGCATTGGCGTTTTTGAATCAACCTTAGTGCCGGGACGTGTCGCTGAGAGTCTTCACGGTCGTCGAGCGAGTTGTTGAATAGAGCACTCAAGAACTAGGAGCGGGCAGATGTGTTCCAACAAAATACTTTTCGGAGCTGGTGTCCCAAAGCAGATTGCGAAATATATTTTTTACGTAACGCAAGATATCTCGTTGGTGTTCGGTGCCGCGCCCCAGGCAGCACAAAACGTCGTGGAAACGTTGAGAAAAAGTCCCGGACGTCCGTGACGTCCCGCATGACTTCGATCACGTTTTTTCGATGTTGAGGTGACGTCCTTATATAACGTTCCATTAGAGTTCAATCAGTGACGTTGTGACGACGTTGTATTTCAACTCAAACGTCGTCAACGTTCCCACGACGTCGATGCACGACGTTCTCACAACGTCCAACGCTTACGTTTCTTTGACGTTGAACGGAAGTTCATAAATGACGTCCCATTATCGTCCAGTCAGTGACGTGCTGGCGACGTCACGTTTCAGCTTTAACGTCGTGATCGTCGCCACGACGTCAAGACAAGACGTTTTAGCAACGTCGAACACTCACGTGTCTTCAAAGTTAAAATAAAGTCCAGGGTGACGTTACATTAACGCCCGTCAGTGACGTTTCAGCGACGTCGCGTTCACACCTAAATGTCGTAAACGTTATACAAGACATGCTATCAACGTCGACCACTCACGTTTTGCTCGACGTTTTTAGATTTTCCAGCTCAATCTCCAGCCGCAGAATCACTGTAGTCTAGGTGACAGTGCTCAAGAGCCGCAAACAAAACTAAATTTTTGAGAGGGTGAGAAGTTTAATTATTGATACATTAATTTGCGTATTTCAAAATGCTATTAATTGCACATCGATGACGCTAAAGAGGGCATTTACAACACTCAATGTACACGGAAGAAAAAAATAATATGAAAGCATGTTGGGAATATCATTCCTTTTAGATGTGCTTGTTATAATTTTGGTTTCTTTAAAAGATTGTTACGTTTTAATTTGCGAAACCCATGGCGTCTAGAACGGATCGAATTGTACCCACTGATCTCAATGACAATTGCTGGATCGCGCTTGCCGCTCCCGCAAGTGAAGCCACCGGGCGTCACTCGCTTGGGATACGATTTGCCGTTTTTGCTAGCCTTTGCTGCGGTTTTCCAGCGTGCTGACGACACGTTTTCTACTCGTTCGTCGTCATTCGCCGAAGAAGTTTTTTGAAGACTCTGTGTATTGTTGAGACTTTCCGTTGTGAACACGTGGAAAATTTTACGAAAGTGCAGTGTAGCAGGAAAAAGGCACAACGCGTCGAAAGGAAGGGCTGGCGGCGTGTTCAAAGCATCCTTGGCACGCCGAAGTGCCGTGTCTCTGTGCCTTCGCACGCTTGGATACCGACCAAGAACCGACGCCGTGTGAATGTGTTTAGCGAGTGCAATGTGCGTGAAGCCGTATCAAAAGGTACAACTCGTCGAAAACGTGTCGCCGGTGTCGCGGCGTGATCAAAGCTTCCTTGGCACGCCGAGTGATGCATCTTTGTGCCTTCGCACGCTTGGATACCGGTCAAGAATTGACGCCGCGCCAAAGTTCTGAACGTGTGTCGCGCGTAGATGCCTTTAGATCATTTATATATATCGGCCACGGAGTTCTGGATCGTCCAGCTGTTCCGGTGAGTTGCTATCAATAAAAGGGGGAGATCTGTACGTATTCTTATGTACTATATTAACCATGGCTATGTCCCAAATCTACTCTAATAGATTCCGTGGGAGCACGAATAGGGCAACGTTGTACGTGGAGCCAGGGGGGTTTTCGAAAGCAAATGTACAAGACGGCGAGAATGAAAATCTTTGAAGCGCGGCCGATATGGTCGTGTGCAATCTGTTGACCAATTACAATTAGGCGAGTCGCGTAGGTTGATAATAAGCCAGCACTGATCAGTGATGAGGAGCTGTTGTGCACGGTATTGTGTAAATCGTCTAAGGACGAAAAAAAGACGTACCTTCTCCCCATCTCCCGTCGCTAGTGGACGCTGGATTAAGCTCGTTCCTAAACCGCGAGGGGAAAAGACGCTGATCCAGAGGCACGAACAGCTTCACGCACATTGCACTCGCTGAACACATACACACGGCGTCGGTTCTTGGTCGGTATCCAAGCGTGCGAAGGCACAGAGACACGGCACTTCGGCGTGCCAAGGATGCTTTGAACACGCCGCCAGCCCTTCCTTTCGACGCGTTGTGCCTTTTTCCTGCGACACTGCACTTTCGTAAAATTTTCCACGTGTTCACAACGGAAAGTCTCAACAATACACAGAGTCTTCAAAAAACTTCTTCGGCGAATGACGACGAACGAGTAGAAAACGTGTCGTCAGCACGCTGGAAAACCGCAGCAAAGGCTAGCAAAAACGGCAAATCGTATCCCAAGCGAGTGAAGCCCGGTGGCTTCACTTGCGCTGCAGCGAACAAGCGGGGAAGCGCGATCCAGCAATTGTCATAGAGATCAGTGATTGTACCATTCTTGCTTTTTGCACGCGCGTTGTCGTCTTCCATGGGTCCTGGGCCCTGGCACGCGCCTCAGGGGCGCCGCTACACTATCCCCTCTCCAGGTGATTTCAGGCCTGCGTCCTTTCCTAGGAGCATCCATACTGCTCCGCGACCACCCGAGATTGTTTTAAGGTTCGTCAATTTCTCTTCGTATTTTGTAACCCATGCTCACCTGCGCACAACCAAAAAATTCGCATCAACATCACAGTTCATCCATAACACCAACTTCCAGCGCCTTAGCGCCTTCGGTAGATCGGGACGCAAAGTCTTGTCACGTGACTGTCAGTACAGATCTGGCTTTCGTTGCCACTGGCGACGTACCCAAACAAAAATGGCATGCCAGCACACACTATATCAGAGGAGAACTTCACCGCACACTTGCGCATTTTTGGAGTTGACTCAAAAAAAAATGCCCGGCAATGACGAAATCCGGTAGATAGTGTCAACGGTTTGTGGAAATTGACATTCATGATGCCAACCCCTGAATGGCCCAGATGACGGTCCAAAAAGCGTTCAAGCCCAGTCCGCACTTACGTGCCGGAAAAAAAAAAAAAAGAAAGAAAAAAACGAAAAAAAAAAAAAAAAACACAGCCGGCACGGCGCGAGAGAGAGGGGGACAGGCAGGCAGAGGAGATGCCAGTGGCATCTGCATAGAGCCTCATGCGATGCGTCGGGAAACTCTGCAAGAAGAGGGCGAGAGAGAAAAGGGGGGGAAGATAGCGACGACGAACAATTGCCAAGCCTAATTTCCGGGTGCACGTATTTTCTCAGTCGTTCCCAAAATATTTCACTGAATGTTCTGTTCTTCGAATCGGCCCAGAGAGAACAGCTCTGGGACCCGGTCCAGCTTTGTCCGAAAGCCAGTCACTAGCACCGGCCGTCACGTCTACGGGTCTCCGAGGCAGGCTGCTATGTCGCCGTGATTTTTTTTTTTTTTTTTTTCGAGTCTGCATACAGTATAAGTGCTGCGATTGGATGAGTCGTTCAAGACGCCCCCATGAAGAAGTCGGTGATCGCCATAAACGCCGTCGTATTCAGTCACGGCTCGAGGACCTTTTTCAAGGTCATAACGCTACACACGTTGAATCGTACTACTGCTCGGGTCAAGGTGCCTGTGAGGATATGAATGACACCCCACAGAAAAGAAGTGGCAGTGCGCATAACGGCGCGTCAAGTCCAGTCTCCGATCAAGACGCCGCCGACGATCCCAATCAAGAACGCCCAGCGGACGGGATCCCCCTTCTGAAACCGTTCCCGTGCACGCAGCGAGAGTACCAGCTACGCGCAATGGGACGGCTAAAGCATGCGTGTCAGCGCATTAATCAGAAGCAGAACGAGGTAAGCGGTGGAACATTCCGCGCTGCGTGACATCGTCTCTTGCTCATTTATTTACGTGAATTTTTTTTTTTTTTTATATCTTTGAGGCTGGCACATCCAGGGACGTCTTTTGAGGCGCTCCGTATTGCATCTCGTGTCTGAACATGCTCAAATAAACAGTTCGTACCAATCCTGTGTTTTAGTTACTCCCTTCCTACTTGCATTGCATGATAGAAACTTGCCTTCGCAATAATACTAAAAAAATACTTTTTTTTTTTTTTTTGGAGGGGGGGGGGGGGGGGCACACAACGTTTTCCCACGACGTCTAGGAAACGTAATCTGGAAAGGTTTCTCGACGTTCTGTGAACGTCGTTAGTAGTCCGGATGTCGTAAACACACGTATCATAAACGTCGAGGGAGGACGCAACGGCCCACTGAGACGTGCATGTGACGTGCAACAAACGTCATTTGGAACGTCCCCTCGACCTCCTGTGCACCTTTTCTTGCGGACATTTAAAGGTTTCATCGACGTCGAAGGAAGGTAACGTCCGGACCTTCGACGTTTTACGACGTCACGTTACAGACGTCTTCGACGTTCTTTCGACGTTTTCTTCACGTTTATGTGCTGCTTGGGCGCAGTACGTTGCTGAGCAGTACTACTTTGTGCACCGACACTGGGCGCACCTTGGGCCGCGTTTATCCACGCACGAATATGGTCGATGATATGCCCTTCGCGGAAGCGTTTCTCATCTAAGCGATGTAAGGTAGGGCGCAGAGAAATGCCGGCGACATGTGGAAACTATAATTTTCTGCATAAATGCTTCAGACCCTGCTAGGTATGAAGAGCGCTCCGTTGACTCATCGCTGCATTGTGACTCTTGCACCCATGGTCAGATTTTAAACACTATGTTCCACAATTAAGATTCAAAATGCACAGTTGCAGGGAAGAAACATGTGACACGGAAAAGAAGTGCGTACACACGCAGAACGCAGAATTTTTAGATGCTCCCTCCGTATTTTTCAAACTTTTGAGATTAACAGTTGTTTGGTTGTTTTGCATTACAATATTGAAAATGCAAGAAAAAAAAAAAACAGTGACCTACGCTGCTTACCCTTCTCCGAAAACTCGTATCCTGTAATGACACGTCTTTATGACATGTCACGCTTTGTTCTTGGCAGATCGTGTAGACAGCCCGATTATTCACAAAATACCGCATACATCGAGCTTCTTTAAGCCTTGAACTATTTTTCCTTTGTGAATGAGATCCCGCTGATTGTGTACGAGGGCATTTTGTAAAAAAATTATCCTGAACGGCAAAACGCGAAAGATATTTGCGCAAGTATAGTTTTCGACGTGGTCATATTCAAGCTCAATTCACACCTGTTTTCTTTTAATACCAAATAGTTAATCCGCTTTTGAAACAGAAGTCAACGGCATGTCTTTTGAGTCTATCAGAAATCCTGTAGCTGTCTTCTTGCTCTTCATCTGGGAAAAGTTCGATGCAGCGATGTCGTAGATTTCCCGAATAAGAATCGGGAATGTCCTCTGTTCGATTCAGTGTGTGTCGGCAACATCTTAGACTGTCATTTCTGAGACCAGTATCTTGCGAACAAAAATGTCCTTTGGATAATAAAGAACTGCGAGGAAAAATTTCCGTTTATCTTTGAAATATCTCTAAGACTGGGAAACAAACAAACGAAGAGACAAAAACTTTCGAACTCTGGCGTTTGTCATCGTTGTCTGTCTCTTTTTCTTTATTAAATGTTCAGGCTCTCGATGTTTTTATTTATTTTGTTTAAATACAAGCAGTCGCCAAATAGTTTGTTTAAGAATAATTTCAGTTAATGATGACGTCGGTTTGCGTGTAGTCAAATGAAAAAAAAAAGTTTAACGGCAGTTTAAAAACACAATTTGTTCAGGTGCCGTATTTTCCGGGTTACAGCCCGCGGACTATACTTGTTTAAAGGGGGAAATTTGTGGCTGTACAGACTATCCACGCGTGAGGGCTATATAGGAATTTTGTTCTTCAAGATCGTTCATTATGACCACACGTGACGGATATTGTGAATGAAAGAGTATGCTAATGATTATTTATACATAATACAAGCTTCTTTGTGAGCCAAGAAAGCAGACATTTGTCGAGGTATGTCGTGTATGAAAAGATTTTCGTGTCGACTGAACACCAAATACGGACTATGCACGGCGTGCGGACCATGCAGCGTGCGCGGATTATCTAAGCAAAACATTTTATTCTTGACTCCAAATTCGCTCCTGCGAACTATACACCGGGTGCGGACTATAGCCCAGAAAATACGGAAGATCCTCGTAATTAAAGATAGTAGCTACGTCTACAAACCAGGGTGTCGAACCGGAACCGAACCTAACCGAAAACCGGAACCGAACCGGTATTTTTTCCGGAACTGAACCCGAACCGTTATATTGTTATCGCGATGAACCCGAACCGGAACTGAACCGGAAAAAAAAATAACGGTTACCGGCTCATGTCAAAACGGTTCGGCCAAGCGCTGTTGACAATGAATGTGCTATCAATGCCATTTGTTTTTAAGTGCCGTCAACTGACACACACCTCGCTTACATATTTTTCTTCTCCACTCAGTCTTAGGAATATAAACGCTGCATCCATGAATCTTGACAAACGCTGCATCCATGAATCTTGACATAGGAACCAGTATTGCGCTGGTCGCGGCTTGCACGGAAGAAAGTGAATTAAAAGGCTGTGAAAAAAAAAAATCGCGTCACGGGATTTCATTTTTCTACAATCTCGTAAATCCTGAATGCTGCTGTGTGCTCATTTCATAACACGTTTCTAGAACGCGCGAGTTCTTGAAGCTTGCTTCCATCGGAATGAGAAAAGAAAAGGCTGTGGAGTTTGATAATAATGCATCCGGTTTCGTATAGGCACTAAGAAGCTAACATATTTGTGAGACACCGAACTCTTCTATTTTAATATGTATTCTATTACGTCCTTCTGGCGTTGCGTTCGGTGAAGTGTTTTTCATATTCCGTATCTTGTTTAATGACAACTTCTTTAAGGGTCTAATTTGAGTTACTGAAGGCTAGTTCAAATAAAGAAAGCCGTATTTTCACCCCACTGTTCCTTCAATTGCTTACACGCCGAGGTGGAGGGATAGTTAGCGAGTTCTACTTGTAAGTGGGTTTGTAAGGAGGTCGCGGATTTTACAGCTACTGCGTCGGACCCAACTAGATGAAGTCCGAATGCGTAAACATCGGTGAGGTAACCTTTGAGTGCACATAAAGAAACCATTCCTGGTAGAAATCCCTGAGCCTTACACTACGATGTATCCCGTTTCGTATGTGCTGATTTCGGATGTTTTATTTGTAATTTATTTGGGTGTTGCAATTTGTCATTTATAATTTCCGAACCGGTTCGCGAACCGGTTCGCGGATCGAATTAATCGAACCGGAACTGAACCGGAACAAAATAAATTTACCTGAACCTGAACCGTAACCGAACCCGTATTTTTTTCGGTTCGACACACTGCTACAAACACTTAATAATGGTCCCTCGCCATCGTTCACCCCTTACAAAATAATGGCAAAAATCTTTAGCGCTACTACAGGAAGGGTTTGATAGTCCTCCAGTCTTCTGTGAGACGAAAATTCCGACCGTAAGGGAACTATTGTCGGGGCGTCCGGCAAGCTTAGATTGGAGCGGCACTGCATCATTTTGTGTCATACTAATAAAGCCGAACCCTGTGACGACTCTAACAATAATGTAATTGTTGTACAGCTCCCGCGGGCGGGTTCGCATTCCGGTCAATGTGATCGCAACCTGAAGGAGGCTTTTTGCACAAAAAGTGCCGTGCAACCGAGATTTCGGTTGCTCGTCAAAAGCTCCCTAGTCGGTCTAAATTAATCCTCAGTTCTTTGCTGGGGCGTGCCAGATGTCTTTCGTTAGTTTCACTCGTAGGACCCCCAAATTTGACACTCGCGCAGGTCCCGGGTGCACCCAACGCTACGACCCGTGCTTCCCGAACCCGTGCCAGAACGGCGGCTCGTGCTGGCCCAGCCTGGACTCGTTCTACTGCTCGTGTGCCAGGGGTTTCTCGGGGGACACCTGCGACACGCTCCTGCCCTTCATGGCCGCCGCCCCGCACGACAAGCAGACTCCCGGCGCCCTGCCGCGCAGAGGAACTCCGGACACGGCCGCTTCCGGTATACACCGAGTCGCTCCTCTGTTGGTTTGCAGCTTCCGCCATACACACAGGTTCCCTTTTTGTTCGCCAACAAAGAGCAGATTATAGTAGGGGGGAGGGGGCAATCTTTTAACATAGCCTCCTCTTTTAATGACCTTTTAATGAGTCACTAAAAATAAGTAACAGACTCGGAGAAAGAAGTGAATCACGCAGAATACGTAGTACTCGTTCTGTTCATCGGAGGAGTCAAATACCCAAGCCGTTCGTTATAGTTGTACAGGCGGTGCGATCTTGGGTCATTGTATCGAAGGGTCGTCTCGAACGTTATCGAACCGAAAGGAGCTGGATGCCAGAGACCGGTCTGGGAATGCCACGACCGACGCCTCTCCCGTCCTCGGAGCACGGTGTTATGCGACGTATTGAGTGAGGTTATGTCACCGAGAGTTTAGAAAACGGGCGTGGATAATTGAAACCCCGCTTGTCGCTTCCAGATTCGTTCCTTGGCCTTCTTATCATCTGGCGGCACAGTCTCGTTGAATGTGAAGCAATAAAATGTGCGCGTAGGACAGACCGCGCAGATCTTGGATCCCCGGCCGGCTAGTCGTCAGCTCTCTTCATCCGCTGTTCGGGTGACGCGTGGCAAAGCCCGTTTCACGATTTGTGCTCATTTGGTTAAGCGATATTTGTAGTAGGACCTTTGATCAAAGTTTGAAAACGTTTTACGCATAGTCGTGCTAACAAACACTTTTGACGCTGAGGTGTCGAAGCGCCCCCGTACGGTGATCTGCTGTTCTCTACCCCATGTACAAAAAGCTGGATAATGAAAATAGAATATCCAGCGCTTTAGCCCACTGCAACATCTACCACGGCGAATTAAGCTTATTTTTTTAATTATGATTTTGACAAAATAAAGCTGAGAAAAGAGATGTCTCATTAAAGTGAAAATAGAGAGGCGAAAAAACTTCTCGCGTGTGTGGTAAACACTTCAGTCAAAAGCGACTCCGCGTATCCTGTTCGTTCCAATGAGTTCTGTAACTGCTGATCTCTTAAAAATCCCAACTTTTTTTTTCTTTTTGTAAACAAGTAAATAAACTCGTGGAAATGCAGCGTCCTGGTAAAGTTGCGGTGTTAGAGGAGAATTACACAAATGACGAGGACAAGACAGGACACGACGGGATAAGACAGGACAAGGGCGGGACATGAATGACGAGGAGAGAGATGTGTCGTTCTGTCCTCGTCATTTATACTGTTCTCCTCTAACACAGGAAGCAAACATTTCCTCAATATTGCTTGAAGAAAAAAGCGGTGGGTGGCTTCCGGAGTCGTTTGAACTAAATCCCTGCTTATTCACCCGGTCGACGCAAAATGTGTGAGGTGCCCCGCGATCGACGTCTGTGAAATGTAATAAGTCGGTGAGACTTCGGCGTCTCAAAAAAAAAAAAAATGAGGTACACACCTGGCACCCTAAACTCGTCAAACATAAAGTCAAACACAAACAAACCCGTGAAGTCATTGTCGTGATAGTGCAATTGCTGCGCACCGTGAACTTTGGCCCCAACCATGTGTTTGACGAGTTTAGTGCCCCTGCTATGAATTGCTACCGTCTGAATCGAATTTTTCCAGACTCGAAAAATTACGCATAATGCGTGATATGCTTCTCAGCGGGCGATTATTTATTTGTAAACAATTAGTAAAAACTGGATAAAACAAATTAATCAATCGCCTGAATTGACAGGTCGAAGGCCGATAATTTAAGAAATTATGAAAACTTCTGCACTTCTTTCGAGCAGAAGTCGCGATGTGACAAACTTGCTTGTCAGGTATTCGACGAGGAGGAGCTAAGCGTCAGTTGCTGGCGAGCATTTGCTCGTCAGCAACTATTGAGTCACACTTGGATACAAGCGTCGGTTTCGGCTAAGATGGCAGCACGTCATTTACTCTGGTGAATGCGGAACCTTTTTCTACAGGAGCCTCCACAGATCTGTAAAAACAAAAATCAGAGAGGCTGGGAATATCCCTGACGCACGCCGCGAAAGCTGTAATGAATATTTAAAACATTTTAATATAAAAAGCAACTTTGAGGCGCTGTTATTCCTTAGAAAAATCACCCACAAGTACATCATACGCGTAATAAATAAACCGTTTTTAATCGGCATAGATGCGAACTAACATAGCCACTCCGTGCTGTTGCATAGCGCGTCGTCTGCTTGCAGCCTACCCGCTCCGTCACAGGAAAGCTCTTGCAAGGTGGCGCCACCAAAACATCTCGTCCCCAGTAGCAAATGGAGATTGATCGCAAAAGCGGCGCGTCATCCTGAAAAAAAAAAAAAGAAAAAGAAAAAGTCGCAATACATTTTTGTTTTAAACTTAATAGTAGAGGTACGTTTCTTTTTTCATTATTTAATATTTTCTTCTATTGAGCTTTTCTAACAAGATGAAGTCGTCACCAGAGATACAAAATTTTATAAAATTTATGTTCTTTACATTTTTGCATTGAGCACACGAAATTATCAGCGTACTAGTTCACATGCATGTGTTAACGTTGAACTGGCTAAACCCTTCCCTGCGTGCAGTTTGCCATCATATCCCTTTCCAAAGCCTTCATCATTTAGAAATCCTAGTCAATGACATACACGAACTAAGCCTTTGTCCTATAATGCAACACATATCGCAATCCTGTAGGAAGCAATTGAAAAGTAAGCCTTTGAAAGCCTCAAAGAAGAGATGGCGTTATACCAATAAACTTGACTTCCTCAGGGTGAAAAGAGACCTATAAAAACGCCAGCAAGTACAGCCTCTGTACGCTGCCATTTTGCTGCTGCTGTGTGTAGCCATGAATGGTTAAACTGCTCCTCTTCGCGGGTCTCAGTGCGGCTCCTGGCTATACTTGGTAAGCATACTTGGCAAGCCTCCAGGAGGTTCTCCAACATCAATAGTAGCTTCAAACTTGCACACTTCAGTGTAACGGCTCTTCAGGGCCGTCAAGTACAAAGTGTTCGGATGTTGGATGACGAAAGGAGTTTGCTTATTCGCAGCAAGAAAAATTGATCATGATGGTAAACCTTGAGACTGGAGTAGCAAAGAGTAAGAACAGTAAGGTGGACCTAAAAAAGGGGGGTGACATATAACGTCTTTTTCACTCTTCTTATAAGGTTTACCATCAAGTTCGTGCACCAGCTCGTCTGCATTTTAATCATTCTGTTTTTCTCGTTTGGATTGGTCTCTGGCGGTGACACAGGCCGCTCCGGCCCCGTGGACCAGCTGCACAACATCTACATCGCGGCAGCCACGCTGGCCGGGGCCTGCCTCATCGTGCTGGCCGTGGTGACGGTGTGCCACTGCCGCGTCCACCACAGCTACCGGGGCTGCGTCAGGCGGCTGGGACGCTCCTGCGCCCAGCTCAAGCAACACACGCTGTACGTGCGACGCCTTCCGTCACGGCCCTTCGTTTAGTATCAGTTTCTACAAAAACAACGACAAAAAAAGTATGTGAGGCCACTTTTTTTGCAGAACACGAAGACAACCAATCACGGCGGACAATAGAAGGATACCAACGAATGACGAAGCCCGGTCTATCGTTATATCTAAAAACTGCTGCAATGTGCCAGGGGAGCACGAGCCTGATGTTTCACTTGCCCACTATCCCTGAACACGTCGTATTCTGAACTTCATCATTCGCTGGTATTCTTCTACTGTTCCCATGATTGGCTGTCTCCGTGACTGTAGGAGAGTGAAATCACTGACTTTTTTTCGACTTTAGAAAAGCGGCAAATCGCGACAAAACAAATACAACACAAAAAATCCAATTGACCGATAGAGTTTATCATTGTGTAATTCTTGTCTGCCATGCAAGTAGGTGTACACCACAGTGTTTATGCGAGTGCTGACACACTGCCTTTCCATGAACGTGAGTTTAGACAGGTACAGGAAAAAAGACTGATAGTGGTGCACTGTCGTCTGCCTTTGTGAACATCTGTCTGTGCCTTACGGGATTTGTTTTATGTCGATTTTGAGTGATGGAGATGCGGCCACGAAGAATACAGTACACGATAAACACCGGTTCAGTCTTACAGAAATTAAAGCGTAACATTAGGTCGAATCATGTAAAAATATATATTTAAAAAACACTTAAAATCTCAATTACGACGCACTTAATTCACTCAACCGTAAATCCTTAAATAATGCCCCCCCTCGAATGACCGCCCACCTCAATGTTTCGCACTGTTTGTCTCACAGCCATTATGTCATTGCCATTGTCTCACAGTATTAGTGGCGTAGCGCAGAAGACTAGAAGTCCGGTCAGGACGGCTGACCCATTCCCGATCGAATAAGGAGATTTGTCAATAAGCTCTATACTTTGTTTCAGCTTCGGTCCGAGCGCGGCCGATGTTATGAGCCGAAGGGCCAATCAAACAGCGCAAAAAAAACGCAGCGTCATGGCGTGCTCTCTGCGTTTGATATAACAAGCCGGCGGAAGAGCAAACATAGAGAAACTGAGAATACCGGCTGGTCCTATCAACTGCAGAGAGCACGCCATGACGTTGGGCCTCTTTCGTTGTTTGATTGGCCATTCGGCTCATAACTTCGGGCGCGCTCGGACCGAAGCTGAAACGAAGTATAGTGTCGCCAACAGCTCGCTTGTCCGTGGCCCCGCCCTGAGCGCATCTTGGCCTTTTCCCCAGCGAAGACCCAGACAAATCCTGGCTGAACCTGCATGGGAGCGCTTCTGAGCTGGCGGCGGAGCCGCTGGCTGCCGGCTTGGACAGCCTTCGGACGCCGCTCATCCCGTGATCGTCGTCCAGCGTTCCAGCCGCCCAGACTGACCCCAGCGGCGGGGGCCTTTTATAGCGCCACTCCGTCATCCGCTTGCGCCGCCAACGCTTCTCTCCGCTGTTTAGAGCAAGAGTTGAAGTTGAGCGCTACAAAGTATCGCGAGAGGGATCCGACCACGCCGGTGACGTGCCGGACCGCCAGCCAGCCGATCGCCGCTCAATGCCTGCTTCTTGGGTGCTGGCCACGTGGTCGAGATGCCGGGAAAAAAAGTCTTTGTTCCATTCTTCTTCTTTTTTTTTTTTTGTGGTTGTTCACTTTCTTGTAGCCGATGATGTTTACCTTGTTTTATCCATTGCCCTATTTTATGCGGATGAGCAACAGCTGGTGGGACACAAGGTCTCAGTATTGTCCCGCGAATCAGACCTGGGTGAACTCCACAATGGTATGACGTCACAGAGCTGTGAGGAGTGTTGTGTGGGTTTGGCTTTCAGCCAGTTCACGTTCATATTCAACCGTGCATTCATCCAAAGACAGGCGCAGGAGCGTAGTTCTGCAGAATCTATGAACGCGCGTAGTCGCGCAACGCATACACTTCTTAACGTTTCTCTCTAGCTCGCACTCGTTCTCCTCACAACGTTAGACTTAAATCTTTTGAAATAAAATATAGGTCGGGATTGGCTGAAACCTTCTCTCCAGCAGCTGTTGAAAGGACGCGTAATTTTGGGGTTTTAAAAACATGCAGTACTGGCTTTCACAATCATACAATCTACTATAGAAAACCCTCTGAGCGATTCGATAGTCACTCCTTAAAAAAATGTAAATTGTACCGTTTTTTTTTTTTTTTCTTTTTTAAATTGCTGTGGCGAAATTGTACCTTTGTCTTTTTTTTTCGACCGCTGTCTCTCGCCCGTGGCATCTGCTCGGAGTGGGTCCTTCACAGGGACACCATACTTGCCTGTTACATAGTTAGAACGAAGACAGACCTGACCAGCTCAACAAAGGAGCTTAAATAAGAGGAAGGGGCAAATCAAGTACCCTGCCCCCGATCGCAATTCCTCAAAGACTGCAGAGGAAACACCATCGAGGTAAATTAACAAGGAACCTGAGTCTGATAGAGAGAACAGAGGGCTGAAAACACCATCTAGAGAGGGCATGGCAGGTCAAATTGCGATCTGGTTCCTTCACTTTTTGAACCTTCTTAGATCTAAAGCTAACGTGTGCTGATTAATTTTTCAATGAAGTCACTAGTTTGTCATCAGAATTGTTTGATAACGAAAATGTCCGTGCGACATTGCCCGTATTGCTCCCCAAGCTTGCAAAGTCGCTTCGTTGACATCGGCATTCGTTAGGACGTTGTATAGTTATGCGACCAGCAAATGCTCTTCTTTGCTTTTCAAAAATATCACTGTTTAAGGTGAACACGTTCAGCATTGCAGAGACCTTGTTGCGCGGCACAATGGTGAATGTCTCGGTCCTCTAGAATCATACGTATATTGCTAGTGTTGAAGGGTCACTTAAGCATCAGATCTTCTGTTAGTCATTTCAGGATGGTTGCGGCCATAGCCTAATTTTCTATTCTCGGGCACCTGTAGCTCGCACCATATCGAATGTTAGTGAAGACATAGCAGTTCTCTTCGCGGAAATGTTGCAATTTTCAAAAGTAAGCCTCGAATTATTTATAAGATGTTGCTTTCTCCCTTGTTTTTACGGGATGGCATCGGAAATGCTATTCCTGGTCTCTAACGCAATATTCGGCTTAAGTGGCCCTTCTGATGACTCGGGTAAAGCAGTTCCTTTAGCATCTGCTTTGCAAAGCCGACAATCGACGCAGAGAGTAGACAGGCACTAGGTCGTAACGACACACGCCAGAGCATGTGAAACGCGCTCACGTGTGCACAATACCGGGAAAGTTCCACAATGCTTCTTTCCGGAAGCTGAGTCGAGATGGCAACAAATGCCGTAGGCGGGCGACATATAAAAAGCACCATCATGAGATGACAAGCAGGCAAGAACACAAAACCATAAAGTGGAAGATAGCCAACTCCATCTGTCGGCATAATGTTTTCACCCCCCCCCCCCCCCCCCCTATTTCCTAAACTTATCAATGTTTCGTTGCCCTTGCATGTTGAACACTTGGTCACAGCGTTTGAAAGCTCTTGTTTTCATCTCATCGTCCGATCGACAAGGCTCTGCGCCAATTTCAGCAGCCGGCACCTCTACAACCGCGTGTGATGACCGCAAAGTGTCGAGTATCCAGACTCCCCGCACGGCATTTGTACGCTCACCTCTCGCAAGCTCAGTTCCACCATGCCGCCCTCAGCTAGCCCACGCTGGCTGCAACCTTCGCTTGCGGCAAAACGATCTCAACCGTTGCCACGGCCTACCGGGTCTTACCATAGCGTCCTCGGCTCTAGAGTCGACAGAGAACCGGCCAAGTGTTCTTTTTTCCAGCCCGTTTATTCTTTACGTGTTGTTGAGTGTCTCGAAGATGTCGGTTTCTTGCCAACAGAAAACGCACCGTCTGAGCCATGCATTTATTGGTCCCCGTTGCGTCCGGGAGTGTGCTCGTCCATGTATAAGCTTTGTATAACGTTCCGCACTTGGCGTGGTAGTCTTTTCGTCTGTGCTTCGTTTCAACTCCATCCGGCTCTACCGTCCCTCCTACCCATCCAGAGAAGTATCGACGCCGCAAAAACCAGTATTGCGCGGCGCGCCTACATGTGTGCTTTTTTGTTGGCCACGGTTTGACAATAAAATACCGTGTGTACAGGACCAAATCGTTTTTGTTTTTTCTTAGATACCAGGCTGATTACGAACTATACTGTATTCTAGGAAGCAAATAAGATTCTGGTATAATTCTGGTATGTCGGTCAAAGCTTCATTCAGCAAGATGCGAGTAACGTCACCAAAGGCACAGTGGCGAGAGGGTGGATCTGCGTAATGCTTCCTTTGCACGGGCCGTTGCGATAAAAAGGAAAAAAAATCGTTTTATGAAGTCACGCGCCCACGGCAGCACCTGAGAGGAAGTGCGTTGTGTCACAGCCTCTTCTATACTCACAAAGCCTGGCAGTTCGACGATGGAGCCATAGAGTGCCCTGTCGCAGATTCGGAGCGCGAGGATCTGGTAGCACAGAGCATTTCTCGGGGAACCTGTAGTCAGCGCACAACTTTTGCAGCGGCGAGGACCCGAAACATGTTTTTCAAACCCGACGAGAAAAGAAGTTGCGCGAGGAACGCGAGGAGCACGAGCGGACATTCCATCGCTCGGGAGAAGTGTGTTTCGGAGTCTCGCCGCAGCGGGGCGCCCGCTACAGAACCCTCCTTTCATCCATTGTCTGCCCCTCTACCTTTTCACTTTCGGCGGCCGCGTCTCGTGGCGATCTGCCAGGGTTTGTCAGTATAGAGGGGGCTACGGTTGTGTGTACTCTTATACAGGGGGAAGTTAATTAGCCATAGTGGGTGTCTGGTGATTCTGCAGTAGACAAGAAATTTAGTCAATGTAGTGCGACCGCTAGTGTGAGGTATTTAAGGTGTGCATCACGCAGTAGTGATGCACGACCACGCGCCGGTATAGGGCTAATCGAGATTGAAACGGGCAGGGGTGAGGATTGAACGCAGGGTACCTGGATTCTGCAGCGTGAGCTTTCGCCCCACTTGCTCCGAAATGTTGGTCCCAGGCTTCCATTCATTCAATGGTTTCTCGACCCGACTAAATTTAATTAAACTTTTTTTACTGTGCCCTTTAGCAGTAGAGGGCTTAGATAAAGTGATGCTCTGCTATACCCAATCGTTGAAAATTTAGAAATCCTCTCGCTATACCAAAATATTTAAATCTCAAAATTAGAAACGAAAACCAATGACGCTCGCATCTTTCGAGGACATCGTGCACAGCTTAACATCTTTTCCATAATAGCCGCACTTTTATTTTGAAAGTTTTACTGCAAATTAGACTGTCATGCCCGCATTTACTCTGTTCTAATGTTTATTTAATCGAGTACGCAGCCACCTCCGTGGTTTCGGAGAAAAGCGCCGGCCTACGGCTTTCTAGTCTGCGGGCTCGAATCCCAGCCGAGAAGGCCGCGATATGCAGTGTCGGGTAAAGTATGTCTAAAAAGTACTTGAAGTAAAGTACAAAGTAAATGAGAGGTTGTGTACTTCGAGTAAAGTAGAAAGTACGCCGGGCGCACAGTTATTTTCGGAAAAGGCTACGAATATTGGATAGAAGAGGCAGCTTGACCTCAGACCCGTTGCTTCCGCAAATAATCGTCTTATTGTGGAGTGTACTCTCCTAATGATCTTAATCTCCTCACTTTCTCTGACCGAGCGAGACGTAGCGAGAGCTCGAAATGCTCCGGGAAAACCTCCCCCCTCCCGCCCCCCCCCCCCCCCCCCCCCCCCCCCCCCCCCCCAGTACAAATTAACGGAAAGATGCGTCGTCTGCTCTTTTTAATGAGAATATAATATCCATTCCAGTATTTCTTCGGAGTTGACAAAGCATCATTTTATGGTACATATTTAACAAGACCATATTAGGGGAATGTACTTTAAAGTCGGGAGTTGTACAGAGCGCGACACTGTTAGCGCGAACAAGCGATTGCCGGTTTTCTCAGTTTTTCTCTGTGAAAACAAGGGATGTCATCAAAGTTATCATTGCTACGGAAAGAGCTCATTTAGTTCTATAACGTAAGTGATAACATTTTGTGCTCGCTAATACCATTTACAAGTAAAATGAGAAAATGCGCCGATGTCGTGTTCGCGCTAACAGTGTCGCGATGTGTACTTTCTCCAGAAAGTACAAAAAAAAAGTATTTTACCTGAAGTACGAGTACAAACTCGGGGTATGTACTTTAACTAAAAGTACAAACACATACTCGGTGAATGTACTTCAAGTACCCAGGCAGCACACCAATGTTGGACCTACATTGGGCCAACAATGGCAAACGCTGGCTCCGGAGGTTGGTCCAACATTGGTATTCTGGCCGAGCGCAACTTCTTCCAATGTTGGCCCAGCCATTGGCACCAACGTTGGGCCATCGTTCAACCAATGTTCCAGCCATCATTGGCACCAACGTTGGGCCATCGTTCAACCAATGATCCAGCCATCATTGGCACCTTTTTTAGGCCATCGTTAAACCAATATATCAGCCATCGTTGGCATCCACATTATGTCGACATAGTGTGAATGCCAACGATGGCTGAAATATTGGTTTAACGATGGCCTAAAAAAGGTGCCAATGATGGCTAATGATGGATAAGAAACAGGCCAGGGGTTCTTAAAACCCAATGTTGGAATAACCAGGATTTAAACACATTGCCATCATTGCATGGCCAGCATTAAAGATACGGCATTAACACTGGGAAGCCAAAATTGGCATAGCCAATGATCATTGGCTATGCCAATTTTGGCTTTCACACTAATTCAATGGCTATGCCATCATTGGTATACAAGTTCTATCATTGAATAGGCCGTTATCTGCAGTCAAGCTGAATTCATTGGCATGTCCCAGTGTTAATGCCATATCTTTAATGCTGGCCATGCAATGATGGCAATGTGTTTGAATCCTGGTTATTCCAACATTGGGTTTTAAGAACCCCTGGCCTGTTTCTTATTAGCAGCCCACTGCAAGAAAAACATTCTGGGCACAAATGGCAAGGTCCTCCTATGCTTTGTCTGTGCACTATTTTATCTGGCGAGCAAATGACTATATCAAGATCAATTAATACTTTTTTCGGAACTTTTATTGAAAGGGGCTAGGGAGGAAGCTCAGCGGGGAGCCTATGCCTGGTCCTGGGGAAGGGCGTGGGGCGAGTCCTGGGGCTGGGGAGCCATTACGGCTTCTGAACGCCTCTTCCTGCAGCCTCCCCTGTCGCAAGACCCTGGCAGCCACTTCAGCACCATTTTTAAGCTGCCGATTCTTCAATTGTTAGCTTCGCACTGATGGCATCTACGAAAAGATGCAAAGGTCAAAGATCAACGCTTTCAAACCCACATTGGTCTTAGTAAAGCACACTCCCAAGCAGCACTTCAAGAAATGTTAAGGTTTGAGTGTCCCCTAAAAAGTCCCTCGCTCACGACTTTTCAGTCCTTGCGGCGTAGCACCCGTGGTAGCCGATGATCAGGGGTCTACGACGTCAGGGCCGAGGTCCGGACGTAGTGACGAGGCAGTTGACCGATGGCCGAAGGCTTGAATCAGGCCCCGTACGCCGGTGGCAGCCTGTGACCAGGTGTCCGCCAAGGTCTGGGCCGAAGGACGTAGCGACGAGGCAGATGGGCGTTGGCCGAAGGCTTGAGTCAGGCTCAGAACGTCTGTGGCACGGAGTAGCAGCGGGTGTTCAACTGCGCCACGCATGCAGTCTTGTCTACCTCCGGAAGGTTGGCGCCCGGACTGCGTGAGAAGTGGGTTGTGGGTCGGGCCTCTTGACGTCTGGTCACGCCGACGGAGGTCCGGCCTGGTCGCGTCTGCACCGTCCTTTGTCAACCGCCCGAATCCCTTCTCGCGCTCCTCGCATGCCCCCACCTCGTCTTCTTCTTTCTCGTCCTCTTCGGCTGGTCGCGGGATCGCTCATCACACCAGACTAAAGCCTGGTTCAGACAGTTGCGTTTGACTGCGTTTTACTGCGTTGCGGCAGCGAGAAACCAGGATATCCCTGCTGCTTATATCGCGTGCAAAGATGATTCCTTGAATTGGATTCCACGCTTCATACGAAGCACAGATGTGCCGGTGACTCGCTTTCGGTACTCGACGCAACGCAGTCAAACGCACTCAAACGCAAGTGTCTGAAACGGCCTTACGCCAATCAATTGGCGACGTGCGAGACCGAAAGCGTCGCTGTGGTCGGCCTTTCACGATTGGCCCAAAAGCTGACTATGACGTCGGAAAGGGTATACCGTCGACGGAAATAAGAAGAATGAAGGAACTTTAATTTCGACGGTGTGGGCAGTGTTCCTTTGAGAGCGCAATGATTTCAGGCTTCCACCATGCTATTTACAAACACCATCGAACTTGTTGTTCGCAAGGTAATGACGTCACAAGGGGGAACCATAGGAGGGCGCCACCAAAACATATCGCCGCTAATTACCAACGTTGGTAGGCCACTGGCTAAGACAGGCAATTGGTGGCCAGCTTAAACCAATCGATTGCCAACTTTGGTAACCCGTTGGCTCTATTACAGCTTATATTTCTGAGGGCGTTGTCGCTACCGTAGTCAGTACTGCAGTTGCCGTATTTTGTACGCACTTTGAAGTCATTTTTGGGCAAGCAGGCATAAATGCTCAGCTTCTTCTGTTATGGACCTTTCCAATGTTTACAAATCCACAGCTCAGCGTGCGATCTCCACAGCTCAGCGCGCGCGTGTGCGTCGCTTCGTGAAGCGAGCAAATCACGCGCGATATGCACGAACACTGAAAATGAAACCGGCCAGCAGCCCTTTTCTGAAAAGGTCTATATGTTGCGTGATAACCTTTCTTTGCAGATTGAAATGCGCATCAGCTTTATGTTACCTCCTACCTCAAACATAGGGTGTTCGAGATGTTAATTCAACGCAATTTTTTATTCGTGAAGACATGTAATTGCTTAATCAGTCGCTGGATATTTGTTTAAGGTTTTATGTTTTTGCTAAAATTATTAGTGCTTTTTATTTATTTTTTTTAATTTTGTCCGGTTCAGTCTGAATTATAGGCCGCGTTTTGCGGCTCAGCAAAGCGGGTTGCCTTGAGATTTTTAAGATCACATACAGCTGACAATACACCCGTGTCCTAGGTTGGGGAGGCGGGTGG